ACACGAGCTTACTGGCGCTAGTGGGACTCAAGGATACTCGCACGCAACGCCACTGGCTAAGAAACTCATTTGTTGCGGTGTAATTTTCAGGACAAAAGCGACCGTTTTCAATCAATCTCTCCTCAGCAAAACTTAATGACGTAGCTGGGAGGTCGCAGTACTGCCCAGTGACGACATTTGAATGCGGCTCATAGATTGGACCCGAGCCTTTCGTGGCCACTCGATTTGGGATCGTGATAATCGAAAGCTCGAGAAGAAGTAGGGTAGTGGCTCGTGTCCAATCGCTGCCATGACGACAATAGCCGAACCATAACAATGTCTGGAACTCAGCGCGTTTCCTGTGCCTTGCCAACCCCAGCGCGTGGCTATGATCAACACTGGCGGCATATAATCGCCTCTAGATCGCGTGGCCGCTTGTTTTGGCTGCGAGTTGAGGGGGTGAACCTGCTCCTTTTTTTAAAATTGTTCCTGTTACTTCGATTGGGTGTGGTGAAAAACGAACGGGTGTTTCACAGGTCATTAACGTCAGGGATCCATTCTAAGCGGTATTTACGCAAAGCACAAAAATAGTTGCATCGCCCCTTTAAAATCATGGTTGCCAAATATCTGAATCTTTGTTTGAAATAGCAGGCAACATTTTTCCGTTCTTCAGAAATGTTAGAACAGTGCGACAGACCAGAACGACATCACCTGGGCTTCTTACCACGATGTAAAAAGCTGAGGAATTCGCATTTTTTTAATTATTACGATCGACAGTGGCGTATGCTTTGCTCGAAGCACCAAGATGGCGGCTCCCACTAGCAGTTCGAGGAACGGAATGCCGATACGCTAAGCGTAGCTCATTAAGGGCCGGTTGCACCAACGCCGCTTAGCGCAAAGTGGAGCTTAGCCGGGAACCTAAGCTTAGTTTCGGTTTCGTTCGGTTGCACCAAACTCGCTTATCGCTAAACCTAGCACTACACTACGCTTAACTTGAGCGCTCAACATTGGGCGCTTTGCTTTTTGTTGTTTCTTAATCCTGGATTAAAAACATGGCGGCTGGTTTGTCGCGGTCGACGCGGTGGACGAAATTGGTTGTGCAAAGTGTTTTAGGCTATACATCAGCGTGAAAGTCTCGACAAAATGACCTTCGATCGTGACAAGGATGCAAAATATTGTCGCGTGAAGTGTTTATCGACCCCTGTTTTCAAGTTGGCTCTCCACTCTCAGGGCGTGTTAGCCCTAACCGAGATACGTACGGAGCTGTGGGTCTGTGGGGCTCACGGGCTCACGTCTGTCTTCCCGTTGGTTCTTCTGTCAACGAGCTTATTCGTATGTACTTACTAATTTTCGCATAACCGTAACGCATTGTTATTTACCACCTTGTTTATTTACACTTGTAGCGTGTATCCTTCAATTCGATCAGCGCGTTGAATAGTGGCAGTACATGATCTCGGCGATCAGCTGATTGTCGACACCTCTGCCGTTCGCATTAGATTGCGGCGCTTTTAAGTAATAAAACAACGAAAATTCAATTTCTTTCGTTTTCTGAGTTTTGAGACAATCTTCAGTGAATTTTCCTAATCTCGCGAGTAGAATCTTGGCTTCAGAAAACTGTATCGTTCCATAACCGTAACTTTTTTGGTGATCGCGATTTTTTAGGAATATTTTGCTTTATATCTTTCATTCGTGGCGACGACAAATCGTAACGACGACAAATCGTAACGACTACTATGCTAGATTCGTTTATTGCTGTATCGGGGGAGGCTGGGGCAGTCGATGAGAAGAGACGACTGTTCTTATCGGCACGATGTAATAAATTAGTGGGAGTTTTTTTTTTTTTTTTTCTGAACCCGACAGTGTGAAACTGAAGTCCGTTTGAGGCTGCAGCGGATGTTCAACGACGGTACAGTGCAATTCTGTCACCTTGCTGATAGCAACGAGTACCGCCGATGCAAGGTCTCGTGACCTGACCTCTCTTCGACTTCTATTCGACGATTTCCGGGCATTTTCGCAGCTGCCGTGGCGAGTTCGTCACTGTTTTGAACTTCATCGGTCTCAGGCTTGACTTGATTTTAGTAGTCATCTTGCCTGTCTACTTATATCGATGATGTTTGGTCTTCAGCGATGTAGCGAGTAGAGTCCCCGATGGCTCCTTCACCTCAAAATGTGAGCACGAAAACTACTACCACTGTCAAAATATCCTGTTATCAACCGATATTTAACACACAATCACAGATGTAAAGAGCATTCGTGTTTATTTGAAGCTTTGACTTCTGTTATTGAAAGTTAAACGAAAAAATGATTGAATTTGGAGACCTTTAATTTGTTACTCACCGAAGAAATACAGCGAAAAGCAGATGCCAACACGACTATTACGAAAGGTTTTTTTTTTTTTTTTACATCACGTGATTCTTCTCCGCCAATCGCATTCGTCTCTCTGAGCGTTCCCTAGTTCGCTCTGTGTGTCCCTAGATTCCCTACGCAAATCCAGCGTTTAGCTAGGGGCGCGTCTGTAAAGCCGGCTTAACGTTGGTGCAACCGGAATTTAAACCCGTGCTTACCTGAGCCCGGTTTAGGGCGCTAAGCCGGCTTAGGAAAGTGCCGCTTTGGGTTAAGGTAAGCGGCGTTGGTGCAAGCGGCCCTTAGTGGCTCTAAGTTAACGTGAAGGCGTTGACATTAGGGAGTTTTCGTAGACCGCGTCTCCCACTCCGCTAAGCCTTCCGCAACGAAGCAGCCGCTACTGCGCCGGCGCGCCGATGGCCTTGACTGTAGAGTTCCGGCTAGCGTAGCTCGTTGCGGAGAGCGTTGCGGGACAGCAGAAACGATCTACGAAAACTCCCTATTAGACAGTTTTAGTGGACCGTACGCTATAGCTTTGCGTACGCAAGGAGATTGCGGGTCGTGAGTGCGCATGCGCAGAACGCAATAGAAGGGCTAGCGTATTGCGTACGCACGCAACGCTCGGGATTTTGCGTTGCTGGCTAGCGGGCCTTGCGGGATGGTCTCGAGAGATCTCGGACCCAACGAGAGCACCAGTTTCTAGATGGCGGTTGCCTCGACTGGCGCAGCAAGGGCGACGCGGTGTTTTCGAAGTTCTGTGTTACGTGAAATTGTGTGGTGTTCAGCTCGGCGATTCTTTCTGGGACCTACCGCGGTTGAATCAGATCGCCCTGCAGCTGAAGGAGTGCACAGTGGAAATGTTGCCCGCTCGCAGTGTGCGTCGACGCTGCGATCTGCTCAACGCTAAGCCTATCCCCACAGTTCATCGCCAACGGACGAACGACTCTAAAAGAAATCGCCGAAGTTCTCGCTATACACTGGACATTAGGGCCCTGAACTTCATTCCGCGATAGCATTGATAAAAGGTACCGTTTCGACGGGACGACTGACGGAGGCTCCGTGATTGAATTTGGCTACGCACTCGTACTCGTAGCCTCTCTACCCCGCAGAAAAGCGCGCTTGACGAGGCAGCTGTGGCTTGGTTTAATCTGAAATAAAATGATTGGAGACTTTTTCTTTTTCAATATTTCTTTCCAGGAGCATGGTTGCGCTATAAGCACGCGGAATTCTACGGCTGTAGCAAATTTAACCAAGATCATGCGCGGTGTTCACTCGAAAACGTAACGCACAACTAAATTCAGTCCGAGCACGTCCTTTTTAGCGTACGCTATACTATTGCGTATTGCGTACGTAAGATCCAGCAACGCTATACTAAAACTGTCTACTGGTGTCTCTGGAAACGCTATCCGCCCGTACCTGCTCGCGTGCAGGCATGGTCAGCTTTCAAGAACATTCCGTGAAATAAAACGTTTTCAGAGAAATATGAAAGTTATAATTGATATTCGTTCTATGATACACAGGCCTTGGGGAACATTGCGATCTTTCTTTTTCAATAAAAAAAAATTCATAATTTTGTGATGGTAACCCATACGATTCGATGAAAAAAAAAAAAACATTCGTAGAGCCTATACGCGTCCAAAAGTTTAATTATTGCTTACTGATATCGAACCGCGCTCTTCCATGGACCTTGTCAACTGGTATATCTAAAAACCTTGGTGGTAGCGGCTGGAATCCCTTTGTTTTTGTGGGCGTCAGCGCGTGACCAAATCAGGGTAAGATCACGCGATGACTGGTCATGCCAGGGACAGTTTCCAACAATGTAGTATAATGTGAAGCTAAAAGTGAGTTAATGGCAATGCTGCAGAACGCGGCGCATTTAGGAAAGGAATGCAGTGTTGTTTTTTTTGTTTTTTTTTTGTTTAATATGCGAACAATGCAAAAACAAAACAAAAAACAGAAAAACTAAGAAAAATGTTTGCAGGGCTGAAAAGACATAGAGACGAACTACAGCGCAGTATTTTACACGAGATTGAGGAGCAATGAGCGGATGTGACGGTCTGAGAGCGAAAAACGCACGAAGTATGCGTGATGTGTCACTCAATATACCTGCTCGCTTTCTTGAAAACCGAGTAGATCAACACAAACGCATTACGTTCTGGATGGCATTGCGTTTCATTCGCTTGACAAAGCGGCACGCACGCGCCAATGGACCATTTCGCTGCTTATAAATGAACTCCTTCGCAAGCCTGTCAAGCTTGCTTCTGGCTCCAGTGCTAAAAAAACATAAATGCTACGCAGACAGCGATGTTGGAGATTTAACGAGGGCCTTTGGTTCTAAAATGTAACATCTTGGAGGAGGCAAGTGTGTCTACAAGTATATTCGAAAATTTCAACAAATTTCATGCTTGTTTTTTTTTTTTTTTTTTTTTTTGGGGGGGGGGGGGGGTTATTTGGAGAATCGGTACTTAAACGTTTCATCGACGTTTGAAGCAGCTGCGTTAAGGTGGGCTTTGCTCATTCTCTTTGTGAACCGGAACTTCTCTGGGACGTCAAAGATTGGGGCACTGACTGGTGGCGTCTGCCATGAAAAGGGTCTTAGTAGACTAAATTTATAGCACGTTGGATTATTTTGTTTCGTGCACACTGGAATTGTCTCTACCAGAAAATTTTGAGCTCACCAGAGACGCAAAGCAAGAGGGAGTGAGGACCGGATTTCCGTGGCTGTTGACTGGCCTCGCTCAGTAGCCCCCCAGCGCTGCCCCGCCGTTAAATGCCAGCCGAAACTGTCAGCGTTCTTGTCAAGAGGTTTATCTGAGTCTATGGCGTGAGCAGCGCGGACGAGGGGCTGATGCACCGCAAAGTTTCTTAGACGATATGCGCCGCAATGCGAGGGGAGATCGACTGAAGATATGCGGACAAACTCACAGGCTAAGTGAGTGGAATATTTTTAGCTTGGAGTCCAGTTGCACAAGTAGTTGAAGGGTTTCAAACCTATCGTTGCGTACCCCCGCCAGAATATGTGGCAGACCATTTAGGCAGTGCCTATAGAGAACTAGGCGAGCGTTTGATTTGTTCTGTTTTCGTTATTATCTCAATTCTCGTCCGGCACATATTGTGGGGCATGTGCGAGAACTAGCGAAAAAAACAATTTCACGTACTACCGCTTCTATTTAACGCTCGATAAATCAAATTGTTGCTAACCTAGTTTATATAGGACAGCAGAGTTGTAGGTTTCGCAACTTCAGATCGAACTTTAGGCAAAATCTATCCAAATCGAGGCTTCCTGGTTATTTTGTTAATTGTTCATTAAAACCTCGTTAAACATTTTGTTAAAAGACATGTGGTTTTCGCGTTCGTTCGCCGTCGTCCATCGCGCGTTTTATGCTCAAGTCCCACTACAGTGACAAACAAAAACAAACGACAGAGACAAAAGCCTCAAACCAAAGAAACCGAACGACGAAACGCCTGCCAAAGGTACCATCGCGAGCATGCTGCAAATGTTTGAGGCCTGTCGCTGTCGTTTGCTTCTGTTTTTCGCTTTAGTGAGACTCGGGCATTAGAGCTGCGGGACACACTTGCCTCCTGTGCCGTATCAGTTTGTTGGAAACGAGAGTGGCTAAAAGGTTCTGTGGCGTGTTGAAAAAGGTTCGGAGCGTGTGCTAAAAGGTTCGGTTCGCGTGCAAAAAAGTTTGGTGGCGTTGGCCAAAGGTTCGGGCGCGTTTGCAAGAGGGTCCGGGGCGTGTGCAAACGTTTCAGGGGCCTGTGCAAAAAGATTCGGCGCCATGTGCAAAAAGGTTCCGGGGGCGTGTGCAAAAAGATTCGGAGCCGTGCGCAAGGAGGTTCGCGGGCGTGTGCAAAGAGGTTTGGGGGCGTGTGCAAAGGGGTTCGGAGGTGTGTGCAGAAAGTTTCGGGGGAGTGTGCAAAAAGATTTGGGGCCGTGCAAAAAGGTTCGGAGGCGTCTGCAAAAGGGTTTGGGCCGTGTCCAAGATGGTTAGGGTCAGCGTGCAAAAAGGTGCGGGGGCGTGTGTAAATCTATGAAATAAAATAATTACCAAAAAAAAACAAAAGTAAACCAATGTTAGTCTTTATAAAACGCTTAACATTATGTTTTTTCTTTAACGTTTTATCAGCCTGTGTTTTATCCCGTGCTTTAGCCGGTGAATTAGCGTTTATTCGCCGGCAAGCAGATGTTGACGGATACTGATACCACCTATACAACGGTTCAGTGTTCATAAAATCACAGCCGCTATTCGCCGAAATCCAATCACGTTCGGAGCAGACTCAAATGCCGTGCAGGAAAGTAGACGTTGCTCGCGCACCGAGTCACGTTCCCCTATAAAAATTGGGTTGTGTGTATTTTTATCCAACCTAAAACTTGGTCTGCCTCAACGGGCGACGAGTCTCCCAGCTGTATATGAGAAATTTAGCCAGTGCAGTACAACCGCTAGCCTGGGGTCTTTAAAGGGGTGATGCAACAATTTTTGTAATTTACGCAAATACCACTTAGAACGGATCCCTGACATTAATGACCTATTAAACACGCGTTCGTTTTTTACCCCACGCAATAGAAGTCCCAGAAAAAAATTAAAGAAAAACGAGCAGCGTTCACCCCTTCAACTCGCAGCCAGAACAAGCGGCCACGTGATCTGGAGCCGATTATATGCCACCAGTGAGGGGCGGATGCAGGAATTTCCTGAGGGGGGGGGGGGGGGGGTCAGGTGTTGGTCGGCGTACCATTTGTTTAGGAAACCCCTCCCCCTCTCCCTCGTTTCACGCCCTAAATTTTACACATGCAGAAATCAAGAGGGGGGTCAGGACATCCGGACCCCCCCTCTAAATCCGCCCCTGCCACCAGTGTTGATCATAGCCACGCGCTGGGGTTGGCAAAGCACAGGGCACGGGCTGAGTTCCAGATATTGTTATGGTTCGGCTATTGTCGTCGTTGCAGCGATTGGACACGGGCCACTACCCGAATGCTTCTCGAGCTAGTAATTATTACGAGCCCAAATCGATTGCTCACGCAATGCTCGGGTCCAATCTATGAACAGCATTCAAATATCTTCACATGGGTGTACTGCGATACCCACGTTACGTCATAAAATTTTGCAAAGGAGAGATTGAATGTAAATGATCGCTTTTGTCCTTGAAACTACACCGCAACAAAGGAGTTTCTTGGCCAGCGGAGCTGCGTGCAAGTATCCTTGAGCCCCACTAGGGCCAGTAAGCTCGTGTAAAGAGAAAAACATTCCAACTGATGTAAAAAATAAAGAAATACGCCAACCAAAAAGTCGAAAAATTGTCCCAACGTTTCGAAACAGTTCGTTTCTTCCTCAGGGGCGACTAAACGGGATAATAGCTTCTTTGTCTTTTTTTGAACTGGCTATCTCTTCTTCTTCATTGTCGATTGCTGGTCGTCTTCGTTTCGCCTGCGCCGTCTTGATTGTATCTCGTAACCCATGAACATATAAACTGGGTAAGGTGCCTAGAGACCTATTGATGTTATTTGCGGTGTTTTGAATATGCCAGGATTCTATCAGCTGTCTTCTGCGTAGGTTCGTCTCAGTACCCAGAATGCTTGCATCTTCAAATCCGATACGGTGGTCATTAACTTCACAGTGCTCCGCCAGAGCACTGCGTTCGCGGTCGAAGTTGCGTACGTCATTTTTGTGTTGACGGAGCCGTTCTTGGAAGTTTTTAGTTTCTCCAATGTAGGAGGCGGGGCATTGGGTGCAGGATATTTGGTAAATTACACCCTGGGCCCTTTCCTTGGGTGGACGACTTTTTGGCCGAGGTAGAAAACGCCCGAGTGTGGTCACAGGTTTATGGGCCACGGTGACGTGTTCTTTTGCAAAAATCCTGGATAGTGTTTCACTTATCCCTTTTGTGTAGGGTATGCTGATGCGTGCAATCGGTTTAGGACGTGCAGTCCCAGTAGGTTGCCCGTCTCGGCGACTGCGGTTTAGACGGTGAGTGATCTGGCGAATGAAGTTACCTGTGTATCCATTATTTTTTAGATCACGGGTGATCGCTTGCTCCTCTTTCCTTTTGTCTGTTGCAGATGAACATATATTCTTTGCCCTCATTAGAAGTGTCGAAACTACTGACGCTTTGTGACTTAGCGGGTGGTTTGAATCAAATTGGAGGTATCGTCCCGTGTGCGTAGGCTTCCTATACACTGTGAAATTCAGTGCCTCACCCTGTCTTTTGATTAGCACGTCAAGGAAAGGTAAACAGCCGTGCATTTCGTGCTCCACCGTGAATTGGATGGCTGGTTCAATGGAGTTCAAGTGAGCCAGGAAGTTGTCCACTTCTGGCGCTTGCATGATACAGAAGCAGTCGTCGACGTACCGCAGGAATATTTGGGGCTTGGGGTTGAATGATTGTAGCGCCTTGTGCTCAATCGCTTCCATTGCCAGGTTGGCCATTGTGACTGAGATGGAAGCGCCCATTGCCGTTCCGCTGGTCTGTTGGTAGAACTCCCCCTTGAATCACCTTCAAGGTGTTCGAAGTAGGTGTTCGAGAGACAAAATTCCAACTGAATATCGTTGCACCGCTCCTTTAAAGGAGCGGTGCAACGATATTCAATTGGATTTTTTTTTTTCGCTTTACACGAGCTTACTGGCACTAGTGGGACTCAAGAACCCTCGCACGCAACGCCACTGGCCAAGAAACTCCTTTGTTGCGGTGTAATTTCAAATACGAAAGCGATCATTTTCATTCAGTCTCTCCTTTGCAAAAGTTTATGACGTAACGTGGGGAGCGCAGTACACCCATGTGACGATATTTGAATGCTGTTCACAGATTGGACCCGAGCATTGCGTGAGCACTCGATTTGGGCTCGTGATAATTACTGGCTCGAGAAGCATTCAGGTAGTGGCCCGTGTCCAATCGCTCAACGACGATAATAGCCGAGCCATAACAATGTCTGGAACTCAGCCTGTGTCCTGTGCTCTTCCAACCCCAGCGCGTGGCTATGATCAACACTGGTGGCATATAATCGGCTCCAGACCACGTGGCCGCTTGTTCTGGCTGCGAGTTGAGGGGGTGAACGCTGCTCGTTTTAGAGCGCAGCTCTTAGGGGCCCGTTCCCGGCTTGAGCGGCGTCGCCGTCGCCGTCGGCGTCGCCGTCGGCGTAACCAAGGTCATCCCAAGGTCACTTGACCCCCAAGGTCATTCCAAGGTCACGTGACCCCAAGGTCACGTGACTCTTAAGGTCACGTGACTCCCAAGGTCACGTGACTCCCCAAGGTCACCCCAAGGTCACGTGACCCCTCCCCCAGGGTCACGTGACCCTCAAGGTCACGTGACACCCAAAGTCACGTGGCTCCCCAACTCACGTGACCCCCGGGGTCACGTGACCCCCGATGACGTCATCAGTGACGTCACTGATGACGTCACCGGCATCCGCATCGTCAGCGTCATCATCACTGATGACGTCATCAGTGACGTCACTGATGACGTCACCGGCATCCGCATCGTCAGCGTCATCATCACAGATGACGTCATCAGTGACGTCACTGATGACGTCACCGGCATCCGCATCGTCATCGTCATCATCACTGATGACGTCACCGGCATCCGCATCGTCATTGTCATCATCACTGATGACGTCATCAGTGACGTCACTGATGACGTCACCGGCATCCGCATCGTCATCGTCATCATCACCATCCGCATCATCATCGTCATCATCGCTAATGACGTCATCAGTGACGTCACTGATGACGTCACCGGCATCCGCATCGTCATCGTCATCATCACCGATGACGTCACCGGCATCGTCATTGTCATCATCAC